AAAAGAAAAGAAGCCAAAATTAAATTAAATGTAAATAACTTTTCATCAATTCAATAACAAAATTGTACCTGTCAGATGAAATTTTGACAATGAAATTTGAAATGTTTCCAATGTTTGTTTCATAGCAAAATCACAACAAAACTGTAAATTTCTTTTTAAAAAAAAAAATGTTAAAAAAAATTTAAAAATTCAATAAATTATGAAATTTTGCACAAAATAATACTAGCATTATATTTAAAAAATTAAGCAAAATATGATAAATTAAAGAAAGAAAGAAAAAAAGGAAAGGAAGAAAGGAAGGATGTAAAATTTTCTTTGTAATCATTCGTTTTCGTTTTTTTTTAAATTAATTGCTATCTATCATCATTGTTGCTGTTATCATATTATCATTGCCATTATTCATTATCATTGTTATCATCATTATTGTTTGTGCTAAGAAAGATTTGATTGATAAAAACGAAAAAAAAAACAAAGAAAAATAAAAATAAAAATGAAGCCCTGACTCATGCTGATATTTATTTTAGTCATCATATGTTGCTCAAAAAAAAAAAAAACTGCTAAATAATGGGCAAGATATACACCCTTTAATATCATCGTTATCATCATCATTATCATTATCATCATCATAAATCATCATCACTATTATCAACATCATATTTATTATCATCTTCAAAGATTAGCATCACCTTTACGAAATTATATTTCTAATGTTTTCCCCAACAAATAATTACTTTTAACAATGAATAAATTACATTGTGATAATTCTATGAATGATAATACTGTTTATACCGATGTTACTACTCATTGAAAATGATAATAGTGATAATGATGATAATGATATCTTCAAATAATTATCTGTTTAGGAATATTTTAAATTCATACTACATTTACTAGATGTATTCGATATACCTGTTTAATACAATATAGGTGTAAGTAAGAGATATTATGCAAAAAGAATAAACCGGTCAATTTTCATTCTCTTTAATAACAGGTAATAATTAAATAACTTAACCTATTATCATTGTATCGATAATATTAGCCTTATTTTTTATTACATGCTATTATTTGGCAATAATTATTTCTTTCAGCAATAATTCATTCTCATCCATTTTGCTCGTACCCGTTTATCATGTCATTTTTTGATGTCATTAAGATATTTTTACAGGAAAAAAAAAAAAGGAGGAGATTGAACCAAAATGTAAAAAAAAA